ATACAACACCTAGGTATAGGTAGACATGGTTTCCCTAATGTACACATCATACGTCTGATACCTCTAGCGTGGCCCTTGTCGCAATCGAGTACCATCTCGTTAACATTTAACTTGCCTTGCAAGACATACACATGAAAATGATTTTAAATGTCTTACGAGATTCACTAAGCGAGTACAACATGGCTATGCAAAATAGTTCACTTTTGTTAAGTGAGACTACTATGTCTATGATTTTGTGAGACAACTTTGCAAGGCTAGAATATTGTGACATCTCGAGGAAGCTTCATAAGGAGAGACATATTGATGATCTAACAAGGTAACACTAGTAGACGGTGTATGCCCTTAGCTCCAATTAGATTGATGTACATTTGACATTTATTATAAATGAATAAAAGTACATAATTGGTTCATATTATACTTAGTGTGTCTCTGTGTAATTACCCTTAAATTGGACACTTATGAGACTCGTGTTAGTTTAGGATGTTCTTAGCCATTAGGTAGACCTAAGGAGGTTTATCTTGCTAAGGCTAACACTAATGTGCTACCAAGTCGATTGGGGTAGCTTGTCTTAGTTGCCAGGGTTAGACCCAAAGCACATGTAGTGTGTGTTTGCTTGAAACAATGAACCCAAACCAATTTTCAGTTATGCCCTAGACCTCGAACACTAATGGGCAAAACAGGAAAGTTACACCTAACCCCTAGACTCGATTATGGTACTGCACCAGGTGTCAGATTAGGCTAACTTTGATATGCCAATCGGTGAGATCCTTCAGTGGTCAAAACTTGGGTATGTTGGGACAGTTTGAGAATTCACTTGAGTGGGTGACAGGATCAACCCCTTTGTTGGATAAAGTGAATGATCGGGGATTGCACTTTCTCTGATGGAAACCTAAATTGCTGGTAGTTGATTTCAAATTTGATTGAAATTTTGTTTTGTAAAATATATTTATATAGATATATATATATTATGTTTTATGAAAAGGGTTTGCAAAATGTTTTAATTCCCGAGATCCATCCGAGGAAAGAATGCAACATTGTACCTTGCAGCCGATGGATAGGTCCTATCTTGTCGGACAGGGTTTGATCATTTTGGGATGAGAGGTTAAGTATAAGACCATTTAGGGCTTTTGTACCTGATGGGCTAATCTCACTTAAGACCATAGTCATTGAGCCTTCATAAGATGACTGGACTCAAGGACCATTTAGTTTAAATGTTCGGCCCATTAAGAGCTCATACTAATGGACTCAAGGGTTCATTGTATTCAACACTGAATTCGGCCTGGCCTTGTAAAAAAAGCTTGACTAAACACATATGGCTTTTGTGAAAATTAATGTTAGAGTCCCATGTCATACAAAGAGAGCCAAGCAAGCCAACAATTAAAAGGGAAATTGAGCCCACTTAATGGGCCTAGGGCCCAAGATTAATATGATTAATTAGGATGTCACATGATAGCTTAAACAATCATGTGACATAGGGTGAATATGGGTATGGATTTTGGTTTGGATCAGTAGATGAGATAAGGGGATAAGTCTTATCACTTAAGGAGTCTAGATCTAAATAATGATTTGGATTGGGAAACACCTAATTGAATTAGGAGAAGTTAATCCTTAAGGCTTAAAGATAGAAGGGGCGAACTGCTTCATTTCTAAGTTTTCTGCTCTGAGTTCTCTCCCTCTGTTCTGGCCGCCCTACCCTATTCGATCTCCAGTTTCTTGGACTGATCAATATTGGATCTTGATTTTTATTTTTGCAAGAAAAATCAAATTTAATTCATGCTCACCATCCTTTGCTTGATCTTTGTTGAAGGATTACAGTTCTTGTTGAAGGGCTGCATTGCTGAACCTGCTTCACCTCAAGCTACACCATCTTTAGTGGAGGCAGGTTTTGGTATCCTCTTTGGGCGTAAAAACCTATGTTGGGAGCTATGCTTGTGGATTCTCTTTTAGGTATTGCTCTCCTTCTTTTGATTTTCAGATCTAGTCCAGTTTGTTTCAAGAACGATCCTTCAAAAATGCAGTTTTTCTAAAACAAGGAATGCGATTCCTGGAAGGGACAATGAAATTTTTGAAATTTCGCCCAACCACCCTGTATGGTTTGGCCATCCATACGATGGATCTCTCTTCCCTTTAGTGGTATTAGAGCTAGATTCAATCTTGAACCAGATTAGATTAGATATGAAGTAGTACAAATCGGTAGAACTATTCTAACTGATTTACGCAAATTAGTAGTTTTTCTGAGAATTTGGTTCTCAAATTTGGGTGTTTGATCTGAAATTAATTCTTTATTGTTCTGAAATAATTTTGGAATGGTTCTTTGATTATTTATTGAATTCTTGGGCTATTTGTGTGGTGGAGATCGAATTCTTTTATGGCGCCAAGATTTGCACACCCTACAATTTCATTCTATTCAATTTTGGTCTGTTAATATTTTTTTTATTTGTAGATAAAATTTATAGGATTTGATCTGATGTAATTAATAAAAAATTAGGTTTCTCTATTTTTTTACATTGGAAGACTTGTTAGAGCATGCGGAGGAGAAGAATAATTTTCATAGAAAAGAAATCTGCAATTTGTGATTAACCATTTTCTGGTAGGTTTGTAGTTTGTTCAGATCATATTCGAACCATCACAATTATAGCCCCTTGTTAAGTGTTTTCTTGTTGTTCTTGATTGTCAATTTCAGCTGAAATTAATTCAGATCAAAATCTTGTTAATTGGATC